TCCTGGACCTCACTCTGTAGACCAGGCTGCCCTCAAACTCAGAGACCCTCCTGCCTCTGTCTCCCAAGTGCTGGGATTAAAGGCGTGCGCCACCAACGCCCAGCAATACTTTTCTTTTGACCAAAATTTATGTGATAGATGAAAAGAGTTAAAGGAAAGCAGATATATAAAATAGCCTTGTTTACCCAGAGGAGATAACTTTCTTTTAGTAGACACCCATCTGCAAAGCCTTGCTACCTCCACTTCCCTCAATTTCACACGGCATTTCACATTCCAAGGAGGCAGTTTGGTTTGGTTGTTTTTCCTCAAAATTATAAAGTGTTGGGGCTGGTGAGATGGGTCAATGGGTTAGTGTACTTGTTGCCATGATTGATGGCCTGAGTTCAACTCCAGGAACCCATATGGTAGAAAGAGAACTGACTCCCACAAATTGTCCTCTGGTCTCTCTCTACATGTGTGCTGTGGTTTGTATGTATCCCTCCCATGATAAAGGTTATTAAAAAAAAAAAAAAACAAAAACCAGGCAGTGGTGGCACACACCTTTAATCCCAGCACTTGGGAGACAGAGGCAGGAGGGTCTCCTGAGTTTGAGGGCAGCCTGGTCTACAGAGTGAGGTCCAGGACAGCCAGAGAAACCCTGTCTCGGAAACAGAGCAGTAACAACAACAGAATATCACCAGGGAAATGGGAGGTGGGCAGGGCCCATCCTCAGGGACCTCCAGTTCTGCTGATGCCTGACTTGCTGCATAATAGAGTATGGAGTTGTTAGGAATCAGAGACTTGTAGATTTTTATCCTTCAGTATCTACATCTCAACCCATGAATTTCACGTTTTAGGTATAATAAAGCAAGATCCTAAACTACCGATGGATAAAATCTTACCCCCACCTTCTCCCTGGCCAAAGAGCTCCATCTTTGATGCTGATGAGGAAAAGTCAAAGGTAAAATTTCCTTCCTGACCCAGGACTTATGTGGATCGTGACTGTTCTCTGGAGTATGTGGGGCAGAGTAATGTCCTCAGTGCTTTCAGACATGAGGTAACAGGAAGTCTGGACATTGCTGTGGGTGGGCCACATAATAAATGCCATGCTATATGCCATCCTTTATCTGTATAAGGGTTCCTGTCAGAGTGTGTGTAGGGGCATCCGGGGCTGATGACTCAGTTCAATAACATGTGGAATTGGGGGGCGGGATAGCAGATAGGAAAGGGGTGCATGTTGGCATGGATCCTTTTTAGTTCCGTAACCCTGACCCAACTCATTGTCCTTTCCCGGGAAACTTCCCGGATTGGTAGTCCTCACACATCAGATGGGAGGCAGGTAGTTAAATGCTGTGATGGTTTCAAGGAAAATGGCCCCTAAAAAGAGTGGCACTGTTAGGAAGTGTGGCCTTATTAGAGTAGGTTGGTCTTGTTGGAGGAAGAGTGTCATCGTAGGAGAGGGCTTTGAGGTCTCATATATGTTCAAGCAACACCCAATGAGGCAGACCACTTCCTGTTGCCTGCGAAAGATGTAGAACTCTTAGCTAACTGTCCAGCACCATGTCTGTCTGCATGCCATCATGTCCCACAGTGATGATAATGGACTAAACCTCTGAAACTGTAAGCCACCTCAATCAAATATTTTCCTTATAAGAGTGCTGTGGTCATGTCTCTTCACAACAATAGAACCCTAAGACAAATGCCAAGCTGAGAACTAGAGAGACTAGGATTCACGGATGGTCCTTTGCATAAGCTTAGCATTTGTCTTAGGGTTGCTTTTTTTTTTTTAATATTTTATTATTTTATGTGTGTGAATGTTTTGCCTGCAAGTATATCTGTGCACCACATATATGCTTGGTGCCCACAAAGGTCAGAAGAGGCTTCTAATGCCCTGGGACTGGAATTACAAATGTTTTTTGGCTACCATGTGGGGTCTAGGAATCCAAGCCAGATACTCTGCAAGATCAATTCGTGCTCTTAACTGCTGGGGCAACTCTCCAGCTTGACATTGCTTTTTGTCAGCCCCTGCCTTTTGGTTAGCATGGTCTGGAAGGCTCTGTATGTGTACACACATGGACACATGCTGCCTACCTGTTCCCTCTCAGCTATACACTTTTAGTGTTTTATGTTTTTTTTTTTTGTTTGTTTGTTTTGGGGTTTTTTGTTTTGTTTTTCTGTATTATGTATTTTTTGTTTTCATTTCTTTGTTTTTGAGACAGGGTCTCACTTTGTAGCTCTGGCTCTCTTAGAACTCACTAAGTAGACCAGGCTGGCCTCGAACTTAGAGATCTGCCTGCCTCTGCCTCCCAAGTACTGGATTTGAAGACATATTCCACTAAGCTTGGGTATTATGTTTTTTTAAAGATTGATTTTTATTTCATGTATAAATGCTTTTGTTTTGTTTTTTGAGACAGGTTTCTCTATGTAACAGCTCTGGCTGTCCTGGAACTCACTTGGAGACCAGGCTGGCCTCAAACTCACAGAGATTTGCCTGCTTCTGCCTCCCGAGTGTTGGGACTAACGGCAGGCGCCACCACTGCCTAGTATGTAAATGCTTTTAACCACTGTGCCTTCTCTCTGACTCCCTTCTGATTACATCTTCGAGCATGTGACCCAGGTCATCCTCAGTACTCCTAACATTTATTTATTTGTATTTTTTCTTACGTTGCTGGGCATGGAATCCAGGGCAGTATGTATGCTAGACAAGTGCTCTGTAATTCAGGTACACTCCTAGCCCCACTTTTGAGTTAGATAATTCTCTGCTCTGAGGCCTTTTTATATTCCAAAGGATCCCTCAACATCCCTGGCTTCTTCCCCCAAATGCAAGTGGGTCTTCAGTTGTGACTTGAAATGTCTCCCTTCTCTTTCTTCTGTTTCCCCCATTCCCACAAGCCAGGGATTTATTATTTGTCTTTTATTCTGTAAGTAGAAAGATGCTGTCTACTCCCTTAGTTTTATTTTACTTTTTTAGTTTTAGCATACAAAGTGGTAAGTAGTCTTTTGTACGGTTGCATCACAGTATATATCCATGTCATTGATTAATGAATATTTAGATGGTTTCAGACCATGAAGATTACAAATTACATCCCCAGATGTCCTCCTAGGGGATATAATCTGCACATCTTCTACCCCATGAGAAACCCAGTAGTCTTTCTTGGTAGTCCCAGTACCCACATTCCAGTGTCACTGTATGGCTTGGTAGGATAATGCATACATACAGTGTGGGCTATAGTCCCACTAATTCTTCTATTGCTGTGCTCCCACTCGGTTGTGGAGAATTACAGCTTCACCTGCTTTGGTTCATTCTTCAGCTTCTGACAAGACTCCTTAAGAGCAACCACCCTGAGGATCTTCAGGCTGCAAACCGGCTGATCAAGAATTTGGTCAAGGAGGTAGGCATGTTTGCAGTTGACTCTATAGAAGATAGGATTGATAGGGCTGATGGATAGTGTACATGGGTATGTGTAAGGGTAAAAGCTGGCTTGGAGAAGAGACATTTTCTTCCTGAATGGGACCAGCAGGATGGTGATTAGCTGACCCCTTGCTGACTTTCTCAGCTTCTTTTGTTCATGGCACAAAGCATTTGGGAACTTCTGCCCTAGTGACAAATGTTGGTGTTGATGGAGTTAGGTTCAAGGGTCTGTTTCTCCAGAAGAATTGAGACTGCATGTACAGTTGAACAGTCACCAGGCCCCTAGACTGTCATCATCTACAGAAATTCTGGGCAGCAGCCCCCACCCCCTCATTAGTGTTCATGACTTTCTGAACCCCCAGCATGCAGCTCTTTTTTCCTTTCTGGTGTTTAGGAGTTACCCAGGCGACTTCTCTTACTACTTTCCCCTGTTTCCCTCAAAGGAACAAGAAAAGTCAGAGAAGGTTTCCAAGCGAGTCAGTGCAGTGGAGGAAGTACGGAGCCACGTGAAGGTGCTGCGGGAGATGCTGAGCATGTACCGCAGGCCCGGCCAGGCCCTGCCTGACCAGGAGGCCTTGCAGGTAATCACTAGCTGAGACCTAAGACTGCACCTGTTGATATAGGCATGATGTATTGCACCAGTGAGAGTCAAATTTCCTCTGTTCCTGTATCATTCCTCTCTTCCGTTCTTCCCTTCCTCCTGTTCCTGCTAGCCACTAATAAATTATTTACCTTTTATTCTATAAGTAGAATGACACTGTCTACACAAAGTGACAGGTAGTCTTTTGCATGGATGCCTCACAGTATGTATGCATTGCCATCAATTGATGAATATTTGGGTGTTTCCAGACCATTGATGATTACAAATTAACCTGCTATGTAAATAGTGTAGAGAATTTTGCATGAACACACACCTACATTTCTCTTGATGTCTAGGTGTGGGGTTGCCGGGTAAATGAACAGTTAACTTTTTATGAAGCTTTTTACCGTCCTTATAGCAGTAGATAATTCCAGTTCCTTCTTATCTTATTTCCTCTCAGAGCAGTGTTTCTTTGTGATAACACCCTTGAGATAATTAACACAGTGTAATAGTATTATCACCACTGTCTGATTTTAGAACACTTTCATTTCCTCTACAGAAAATCCTCTGTATTGTATTAACAAGTTTTATTGTTTTTTTTATTGTGTGTGCTTGTCATGTGTGTGTGTGCCTATCATGTGTGGGTGCCCAGAGGCCAGGAAGAAGGTGTTGGATTCCCTGGAGCTACAGTTACGGATAGTTTGTGAGCTGCCTGACATGGGTTTTAAAGTAGCTGTACCATTTTATAGCCCTCTCAGCAACTTGCAAGGATTCTAGGTCTGCACATGCTGCCAGCTGTCTTCTTTTGTGTCAGCTATCCTGGCTATTGCATATATCTCCTTGTGTCTTTGTCTTTTTGGCCTGTGTTCCACATTCTTTCATGTGCTTATCCACTTGTGTTGCTTTTGTAGAGAATGTCTGCTCATATCTTTTGGTCATTCCCTAATTGAGTGGTCTTAAGTTACAAAGATGTTTTTGTTTCTTTTTGAGACAGGCTGGCTGGCCTGGAACTTATGTAGATCAGGCTAACCTCTTACTCACCCACCCTTACCTCATGAGTGCTGGGATTATAGGTGCAAGTCTTCACACTTGGGCTTAGAACAGTGGTTTTTAACCTTCCTAATGCTGTGACCCTTTAATATAGGTTCTCATGTTGTGGTGACCCCAACCATAAATTCTTTTCATTGCTACTTTGTAACTGTAGTTTTGCTGCTGTTATGGATTGTAAATATCTGATATGCAGGATGGTCTTAGGAGACCCCTGTGAAAAGGTCACTTGACACCCCCCCAAAGGTCATGACTCACAGGTTGAGAAATCCTGTCTTAGAGAGTTCTTTATATGTATTCAGACCCAAGTTTCTTCTCAGACTATTCCCTTCAATCCTAGGCTTTCTCCTGGTTTGATGGCTTCTTTTGAGGCACAATGTTTGTGTGCTTGTGAATGTGTGTTGGTTTCTCTGTGTAGCTTTGGAGCCTATCCTGGCACTCGCTCCAGAGACCAGGCTGGCCTCGAACTCACAGAGATCTACCTGCCTCTGCCTCCCAAGTGCTGGGATTAAAGGCATGTGCCACCAATGCCTTGTTTTTTGAGACAGGATCTCTTATTGGCTTGGAGCTCAGCAGGTACTCAGGTTGGCTAGTCAGTGTGCTCTGGAAGTCTTCCTGTATCTATCTCCCCCAGACTGAGATATAGACAAGTGCCACCACACCTGGCTTGTTTACATGAGTTCTGGGGACCAGACCTAGGTCTTGTGAGGCACTTTATTGCCTGAATTATTTCCCCAGTTCTGAGGGACAAACGTTTTATGGGTTTTGTTCTTGTTTTTTGTTTGTTTGTTTCGAGACAGGGTTTCATTGTGTGGAACCTATCCTGGAACTTGCTCTGTAGACCAGGCTGGCCTCAAACTCACAGAGATCCACCTGCCTGTGCCTCCAGAATGCTGGGATTAAAGGTGTGTGCCACCACCACTAGTTATACAGTTTTTTCATTTCAGGGTTATAGATAATATATTTTGCTTTTTGTTTATTTTTTAAGACAGGATTTCTCTGTAGGTTTGGAATTTGTCCTGGAACTCGCTCTGTAGACCAGGCTGGCCTCAAATTCACAGAGATCCCCTTTCTCTGCCTCCCGAGTGCTGGGACTAAAGGCGTGTGCCACTGGGAGGAGAGGAGGATTTTGTTGTTGTTTGGTTTGGTTGCTTGTTCTTTTGAGACAGGCTTTCTAATTTTAGTGAAGTCCAGTGTGTCTCTTGTCCTGTAGAGAACACAACCGGCTGACACTTAAGCCCAAGTCTAGGACAGAGACGTAGGTAGCAGGCAGAGAGGAGGCCAGGGCAGGGCTGTGGAGAGAGGTAACTGAGGATGGATGTGAAGCTGCTCAGCTGTTCAGAGCTCACTCCCTTTTTCCTAGTGTGAAGAAAATGGCCTTGGGGAGTGCAAGAGTCTGGGGCACCCTATGGAGAATATTAGGCAAGTGTTGTAAATGGATTGCACCATCAGAACTGTTGGGACAGGAAATTCTCTGCAGTATGTTGGTGACAAAGCAGAGAAGTTCTACTATTGTCAGAGCTGTTGCAGCTCAACCAGGAAGGGACTTGAGAAGGAGCTGCCAGTGTATGCCTGGGAATAGTGGGGTCTCTCTTGAGCAAGATTGCTTTCTACTTTTCCTTTAGTTAACTAGAGAAAAGTTAAATATGCTTGGCAGTGGTGGTGCATGCCTTTAATCCCAGCACTCTGGAAGCAGAGGCAAGTGGATCTCTGTGAGTTCCAGGCCAGCATGGTCTACAAAGCTAGTTCCAGGACAGCCAGAGCTATTACACAGAGAAACCGTGTCTCAAAACAACAACAAAAGTTATATATATGGAGCCCCAATATATTTTCTCTCTCTTTCCTTCCCTTCCCTTTTCTTTTCTCACATTTATTTATTAGGGGCTGGAGAGTCCCGTGCCATGTTGTACTAGTGGAGGTCCAAGGACTACTTTGATGTGAGTGGGTACTCTCCTTCCACTACACAGGTTCCAAGAATGGAACTTAGACTGTCAAACTTGGCAATAAGCACCTTCACTCACGGAGCTCTTTCTCCAACCGGGAAACAAAATCACAGGAGGGACATTTGATAATCTAGAGCATTGTCTTTCTGTAGCTTGGGCTGGTTTTGCCCTCCTGGTCCTTCTCTTCCACCTTCCAAATACTGATACAGGCATGCAACACCACTCCTGAAATAACCCAAATGTTCTCTCTCTCTCTTTCTCTCTCTCTCTCTCTCTCTCTCTCTGCTTTTTTTTTTTTTTTTTGGTGGGGGGGTTTAAGGGTGGAAGGGATGGTTGGAAAAAAAATTGGGTGTGTGTGTGTGTGTGTGTGTTTGGGGGGTGGGGATTGAACCTGGAGCCTCACTCGTGAGATGCAAATGCTCTACTGAGCTAGGGCTCCAGCCCTCTACTGTTTAACTGTCATGTTACCTCCGAACTGTAGTCACTGCTCTTGAGGGAGACGCATGAGAACTTGGGTGGGCCCTGGGTGTTAGGGTGTGAATGAGGCTCTGTTTCCCTAGGTTGTGTATGAAAGATGTGAGAAGCTGCGGCCAACCCTGTTCCGGCTAGCAAGTGACACCACCGATGATGACGACGCACTGGGTAACTGTTTTTCTGGGTGTAGCAAAACAGATGTGGTAGGGTCCTCTGGATCATGTTGCTATGAGGCCAGAGCAAGACAGATAGCTTTGAGTTTCGTATGGGCTGGTGGCTTAGCTTGGACTTCAGAAGACTGTGAATAAGAAATGTGAAGATCCAAAACCCGGAAAAGAGTAGAAATCTACAAGAGATGTTGTGTGACCCTTTCCATGGAAGACCAGGAAATGGTGTCAGGTCTTCCTTTCTTCTCCTCCTCCTCTTCCTTTTTCTCCTCCCCCTTCTTCTCTTCTTCCTCCTTCTCTTCCCCTTCTTCTTGTTCTTCTCCTCTTCCTCCTTCCTCTCTTCTCCTCCTCCCCTTCTCCTCTTCCTCCTTCCTCTCTTTTTCTCCTCCCCCTCCTTCCCCACTTCCCCTTCCTTCTCTTCCCCTTCTCCTTCTCTTCCTCCTCCTCCTTCATGCAAATCAGGTCCTTGACTTGTAAGGTTCTCTGAATATGTTTTGCTAACGTTGCATCTTCCTGTGGTGATGCTTTTCTGTTACTGAGATTGCAACTGATAGATAACTCAGGAGCTTTGTCAAATTCAGGAGAGACTGAGAACATATTATAGCCAGGTGTGGTTAAATAGTGAACATCCACATCAACCTGTCTCAACTTAAAAAAAAAAAATCCTCACTGAAAGAATTGAAAGAATAGCATTTAGAGTGTTAACTGCTGCCAGTGTGTGGACAGTGGGACATGGAGATAAAGCTAAGTGATGATGCCTGGTAGGAACCTGGTCACATGGTCAGGGTCAGGGGTGCTGGGTGTGCCAAGCCTGGTAGAGGCACGTGGAGTGAGATAGATGGTTGGCCGCTACACTAAGGAGTTCTGAATCTGCTCTTTCCTCAGCGGAGATTCTTCAAGCAAATGACCTTCTCACTCAGGGGGTTCTGCTGTACAAACAGGTGGTGGAGGGACGAGTCAACGTGGGGAATGCAGTGGCCGCTCCAGTGGGAGAAGTTACTGTCCCTAGAGGTTCGTGCTAAGAGCCTTCTTCTTTAGGGCAGTGTGCAAGTCACAAGAATAAGAGAGCTTGCTTCTGTCCCTTTTCTGGAGAAAATGTTTGCAGGTGCCAGGCCTGTGCCATAGAAACCATCACATACCCATGCCAAATTAGATCCCCACCGTGGCTACACATGCAGGCAGATGGCAGTGTTGTGCCAGGTTTTAATCCCTTTTGAGTGCTTCTAGAGCTTGAGACCAAGGAAATGGTTAGTGGTTCAATAGTTTGCCTTTGCCTAGCATTCACAAGGCCCAAGGTGACATCTCAGCACTGCCCCCCAGTTTATTTTTATTTTTTTAATTGTATGCTCTTTGGTGTCTGGCCTATACTTTCTAAGGTGGGATTGCTTAGAGCTGGGCCTGCGTATCTCTTGAGTACTGTAGATGAATTTGATCAGAAACCTGCAAAGGAGTGTAAGCTGAAGAAAAAGTAGCCTAAGCTACTGTCCTGGGTGATGACAAGGGCCAAGGAAAAGGAGGACCTCAATGCCTGGAGGGCGGAGTCCTTAGGCCTCCTAACATGCAAATGCCTAGGAAAGGCTGCTTCCCAGTACCCAGTTGAGGCAGAAGTTGGTTGGTGGGAGGCATGATGTCTTCCAAGAGGGCACCAGTAGGATTTAAATGGAGACATTGTTTTCATGTTTGAAATTTTTTTTTGTTTCTGTTTTTTTCTTATGGTTTTTTTGAGATAGGGTTTCTCTGTGTAGCCCTGTCTGTCTCTGCCTCCTGAGTGCTGGGATTAAATATGTGTGCCACCACTGCCTGGCTTTGTTTGAGCCTTGTATCCCTATCTGTTTATTAGTTTTTCCTAATCAAGTGGCCTGTGGGAAGAACTGCCCCCTCATTGACCTGGAGGGACCCTCTTTGCTTCATCAGGACCTGGCAGCCTTAGGTAAGAGAGGATGTTATACAGGCACAGAATGGCTCTGAGAAGAGGGGACGGCCTGCTCTGGGGAGGACTCTGGCATACCAGGCAGCATGGAAAAGTCTCTTTGGGTGGATGGATTGGCTTTGGGCAGGTCCCTTTCTAGATATCATGGAATGAATGAGCATGCCTCTCAGGTAGTGTTACGGTGACATACCTTATTCTACTTCTTTCTCACAGGGATCAGCGATATTCCCACTACGACCAAGGTAGGAAAACTCCTCCTCTTCATGGGGAGTTCTTGGGAAGGTCACTCGGTTCCATTCTTGCCTCAGTCTGCCTGTGGGAGAGCGGTCACTACTTCACCATTTTTTGGGCTTCTCAGATCATCTTGTGGGGTTGGCTCCAGAGCTCTTCATCTGTACCATTTGCTTTATTGCCCATCTTCCCTTCCCGCTAGGGCATCTTTCCCTCTCCAGCCCTAACCCTTTCGTTGTACTGGCTTCTGCTTCCTGAAGGTTTGTGCAGGAGTCTTCTGTTCTGCCCTTTCTCTCTCCTCCTGCCCCCAAAGAGATTATCTTAGCCATTCTTGGTTTGGCAGGTTGTCATTCCAAGTTGCTGTAAAGACAAGAAACAGCCTGCTGCCATCACACTCCTGGGGGGTGCAGTTGAGAGCCTTTCTGCTGACAGGAACTTGCTGGATCTCCTCTCGCCACAGCCAACTCCAGGACCACTGTGAGTGTTCAGGGCCGGTGGCTTCCGCCTGCAGCTCCCACTCTCCTGCTGAAGGCCATGCTCTTTGTATTACAAGTGCAGGATGCTGCCCCTTTACTGTCTTACTCCATCGTCACTGGGACAGCCAAGTGTGTGTATGGTGGGTGTATAAGGACACACATGCCATTGTGAGCATGCAGAGTCAGAGAGTAATTTTGTGAGGTAGTTCATTCTTGCCTTTGTGTGGGTATTGAACCTAACTCTCCAGGTTTTGCAGCAAGTATCTTTATCTGCCCTGAGCCATCTTGCTGGCCTGATTTTGTTTTGTGAGATAGTCTTATGTCTGGACTGCCTTTGAACATTTTAGGAGCCAAGGATGACCTTGGGCTTTTGAACCTCTGCCTCCCAAGTGCTGTGATTACAGCCATGTCCCATATGCCCTATGGAAGGATGGCTGATAATCTTGATGCTTATTTCTCTTTCCTGACTGCTATGTTTACTAGAGAAATAACAGTAGGTCCTAAGTACTATTCTCTAAAAATGGTAAAAAAGTTCTTTTTTCTTCTTCTTTTTTTTTTTCTCGAGACAGAGTTTCTCTGTGGCTTTGAAGGCGGTCCTGGAACTTGCTCTTGTAGGCCAGGCTGGTCTCAAACTCACAGAGATCCGCCTGCCTCTGCCTCCCAAGTGCTGGTCCTAAAGGCGTGCGCCACAAACGCCCGGCCTTTTTTCTTCTTTTCAAAGAGGATTTATTTTGGCCCCTGATTCCAATTCTTTCTTTGCTCACTTTCTCCCCGCCCCCTCAACATACACACACCAGGTAAGTCTCACTATAGTAGACTATCCTGGAAACCATCCTACCTCCATCTGTTGAGTGCTTTGATGACAGGCATATACCATCATACATGCTTTTGCTTTTGCTGTACATGTGATAATGCATGATTGTAGCTTATTTTTATGGAACTGTATTCCAACATGACTTTTCTTTCTCTTTTTTATTTTTATTTATTTTTATTTTTTATTTTAATTTTTTTGGCTTTTCAAGACAGTGTTTCTCTGTGTAGCTTTGGAGCCTATCCTGGCACTCACTCTGGAGACCAGGCTGGCCTCGAACTCACAGAGATCCACCTGTCTCTGCCTCCCGAGTGCTGGGATTAAAGGCGTGTGCCACCAACGCCCGGCCTTTCTCTTTTTTAAGATTTATTTTTATTTATATATGTGTTTCTGTACATGCATTTGAGCGCCCTTGGAGGATGTTGGGCCCTCTGAAGCTAGAATTATAAGTGTTTGGGTTTTGTCTGATGTAGTTAGTGGGAACCAGATGTAGGCTCTTAGTATGTGCTTTTAATGACTGATTCATCTCTCCAGCACCCCTTCCTCTGGGCCTCACTATATAGCCCTCGCTGTCCTTGAATTTACCTTAGATCTATCTACCCCTGCTTCCTGAGTGCTATGATTAGAGGTGTGTACTCCCATGCCCAGCCCTACTTTTTTCTTTTTCTTTTTTTTTTTTTAAAAGGTGTCTTTGTTTGTATTCTGGTTCCAAAAGAGGACATCAAATCTCCTGCTGGCATTATAGGTGGCTGTGATCTGTGGGGAGCTCATGTTTTCTGCAAGAGCAGCACTTTGGACCACTGAGCCATCTTTCCAGCACCTTAAAAAGTTTTATTGTATTTATTTAGTGTTTGCGTACACACATGTGTGAATACATGTGTGTCCATAGGTACCTACAGCATACATATGGAGGTTAACGGACAACTTAGTAGTCAGCTTTGTTCATAGTGTGGGGCCAAACACAGGTTGTCAGGCTTGGCAGCAACTGCCTTATCCACTGAGCTTTCTCACAGTCCTCACAGAACTTTTTTCCTGTCAAGCTACATCTTTGAGACATTTTTATGTGAGTTTATGTATAAATCTGCCTCATTCTCTTTAACAGTTACATTATGGTTTATAAACAAAAAAAGAAACAATGACAGATTCCTAAAGTTTTCTAGTTTTTGTTAGTCATTGATCATTTTTATTTCTTTGTAGGAATTATGTTCCACAAAAAAGCATCCCCAAGGAAGTGCCACCAGGTACCAAGGCCTCTCCAGGATGGTCCTGGGAGGCTGGACCACTGGCTTCTTCCCCAGCCTCACAGAATACACCTCTGGCTCAAGTGTTTGTCCCTTTGGAGTCTGTGAAACCCAGTAAGTAGTTTGTGCCCCTTCTTTTTTGTTGGATCCCTAACAACAACAAATCACTCCAAGCTGCTAGGTGTGGTCCTTAAACTGGGGAAGTTGGGTATGAGGCTGGGGGAAGAGGTGAGGCGAGCTTTTCAGCCTGTTGAGCTGCAATTTTTCTTAGTCTTCCCTGTCTTAGGACGTCTACCTGCCAATACCCCTCACAGTTGAGTTTAAGGAGGAGATTGAACTCTATTAGGGACATGATATTTGTTCATTTGGAATTCAAGGAGGGAAGGTTTAATGTGACTGGAGGTGACTGAAAAAAGGTGGAAATTGAAGGAAAGGAAGAACTTGGCTAATGATGCTACTACTCTGTGGATCCTCAAGTCAGAAAAGTGGGTCTTGCCTCAGTTTCATGGAAAGGAAACCAGAGGCTCTGCCAGCTTAAGGCTACACACTGTGGTTTGCAGTAGAAAACAGGCCTGAGTGCCTCTGCTCTTCTACAGCCTAGAGTCCTGTGTGGAGGCAGGGTTTGGGGAGGTTGGAGCGCAGGGGACCCTGGAAATCAGGCCTAGTTGTTTAAATGTACTTGGTGATAGCAGGCACTTTTTGCATATTTGTTTTATTAAGTTTTGATAGGAATGATATTGCATATCCAGTGTTAATTTCTTGGTTGTGATAATTGTACTACAGTTAATTATGTAAGGTATTAACATTTGGGGAAGGGGGGTAATGAATTTATGAGAATCATTTGGTTTGCCTTTGTAACTTCATAATCTAAACTAATTATAATACAAAGTTTAAAAATGGGGGTAAAACAAAAAAAGCCCAACATACTGAGTATTCAAAAGTCTAGAAAAATTAAAGCAGAAAGGTGACATTCAGCGTTACCTGCTGGCCAGAGGCAGGCATTCTGTTGAAGTCTGTTGTGTGTGTGGTACTGGGTATCAAAGCCAAGATCTTGCACCTTCTAAGTAAGCACTCTGCTATTGAATTGTCTCCTCCCTTCTTCTTCTCTCTGTCCCTTCCTTTTTATTTTGAGATAGTCTTATGTATTCCATGCTGGCCTAGAACTCTATGTAACCAAAAAATGACCTTGAATTCCAAATCTTCTTGTGGGATAACAGGTATATGCTGCTGTACCCAGTTTACATGGCTTTTGGTATCCGACCCAGCAAATCCTGCATGCTAGCTAGGCACCTGCTGAGATTCATCTCTAGCCCCATTTTTTCTGTTTTGTATGTAGTTCTGGCTGGCCTGGAATTTACTGTGTAGAGTTAGTTGTCCTTGAACTCAGATAACTCACCTGCCTCTGCCTCTGCCTCCCTAGAGGATCCCTGCAATGCTGGGATTGATTGTGTGTGCCACCACATCCAGACTGGTTTTGTGTGTGTGTGTGTGTGCGTGTGCATAATGCTGAAGATTGAACTTTTAAATTATTTTATATGTATGATCATTTTTGCCTGCATGTATGATGAATACCATGTGTATGCCGGGTGCCCACAGAGGTCAGAAGAAGGGGTCACATTCCCTGGAACTGTAGTTAGAGATCCTTGAGAGCCACCATGTACATGCTGGGAATCAAACAGGTTCTTCTGGAGAGCAACCAGTGATCTTAACTACTAAGCTTATCTCTCTAACCCCTATAACCCCGCTTTTAAAAGGTAGGTGTGTGTGTGTGTGTGTGCGCGCGCGCACAAGTTTATGTACATGTGTATGGTGTATGTGACATCTATCTTCAGGCAGGAGACGAGAGGATGTTGAGAGTCCTCTATCACTGAGGTGGGGTCTCTCCCTGAACTTGGGGCTAGTTTTCTCAGTATACTCTGGCAATCCTCCTGTCTCTGCCCTCATCAGCGTGGCGGTTTAACAGTCAGACACAGGATACTTGGCTTGTTATGTGGGTGCTGGGATTCAAAGTTTGATCCTCATGATTGCATAGCCAGTTTGAGCCATCTCTCCAGTTCCATAAATATAATTTTAATAAAATGATACCACATTCTTTAGAATACTTTATATCTAATGACTTTTATATTTATGATTACAGTATATGCTTGGAGCATTATTCTTGAGGTAGAGTCTTCTGTAGTCATGGTCAACTTTGAACTCATTATGTAGCTGACGATGGCCCCGTTTCTGTTCCTTTTGCCTCTGCTTCCTGAGTACTGAGATCACTGTGCCTTCATGTCAGCCTGGGCTCATGTGCTTTCTTCTCAAATACTGTTAGAATTATTTCTTGAGGGGCTGGGCAGTGGTGCTGCATGTCTTTAATCCCAGCACTCAGGAGGCAGAGGCAGGAGCATCTCTGTGAGTTGGAGGCCAGCCTGGTCTACGGAGCAAGTTCCAGGACAGCCAAGACTTACACAGAGAAACCCTGTCTCAGAAAACTGAGAGAGAGAGAGAGAGAGAGAGAGAGAGAGAGAGAGAGAGAGAGAGAGAGAGAGAAAAGAAAAAAAAAAAAAAAAATATTTTTTTGGAAAACCATTATTTCTTAGGGCAATCAGATCAGTTTTCTTTACCAGCTGAACCATCTTACCAGCCTTCATCACTTTATAAAATATATGGAGGATGTGTGTCCTGATTCTATTCCTGTGAGGAGACGCCATAGTCAAGGCAGCATTTAACTGGGGTCTTGCTCGAAGTTTCATAGTGTGAGTCCATGGTCATGGAAGGAAGGCATGTTGGAAAGCAGGCAGTTTGACATGGTGCTGGAGCAGAAGCCTGAGCTCACATTTGATTTGCAAGTTTCAGGCAAAGACAGCCCAGACTGGACTTGGCATGGGCTTTTGAAACCTGAAAGCCTATCCCAGGTGACACACCTCCTCCAGCAAGGCCTCACCTAATCCTTTCCAAACAGTTCCACCAACTGGGGACCAAGCATTCAAACATGAGACTATGGGTCCATTCTCCACCACCACAATGTGACTGTGTGGTTTTGGTCATATGAGAGAGAGCAGAACAAAATAATGTTTGTACTGCTTGTTTATAGGTAGCTAAATGTTTTGTGTGTGTGTG